ATACTACTATATATATATAATAATATATATATATATATATATATATATATATATACTTTAAATCTTCAGAAAGAATGATATCACCGTGCCTCTTTCGCTTTGGCGAAAACAAAGTCAGATATTCTTCCCTTATAATAGCCACCCACTAATCGGCAAAAAATGTAAAAGATCTGATGATGGTAATACAAGAGAAGAATTGAAAAAAGTAAAAAAGATAGATAAGAGACGGGAGAAAAATACCAATATTTTTCTAGTATGCGCTATAAGGAAATCAATAAGAAAGAACGAGAAAAGATACCCACCCCATCAGGGAAGGTCGAGAAAAGGAATTTTACGTATGTTCATATTCACGGAGAAAGAAAAAGAACATACATGGCTATAGATCCAAATATTATGGTTAATCAGGATCTCATTTCTCGTTGAAACTGCATCTTGCAGATAACAACGCTGGTTTGTAAAGGTTATCCATGGATCACATATTCATTGTTACCATGTGCATGCTTGTGTACATCCTTCAATATTGAAATCATGCGGATAATATCTATATCTATATATAGATATATATATATAGATATAGATATATTTATAAACTACATAAATAACTCTCCCCTCAGGGAAGAAGCAAATTTTACACCACACACCGCAGAGAAAGCAATCAACTCTATCCGTTAATTTCTCATGGATTATCGTCTAAGAAACATATGCGTCTCCAAGAAGGCTGCACACAAACGAATAGTACAAAAAAAGGAAAAGGAGATCCAGTTCTCTATTTCTTTTTTGTTGGAAAGTCGAATAAGTGTTAAAGCAACGAGCCTTCCTAAAGACTCTTGTGGATAGATTCCTAACAATATCGCAGACCCCTCCACACACACTTCTATTTTAGTACACCACACTACAATCAACGCGGCTCCCGTCTCGATATTCGCGCCTAGACGTTGTCTCTCGAGATTACCGGGAAGAGGGCGCACCGATTCGCGGAAGCGCCCTGTTTACCCCATCCACTGGCGATCCCACCGCCTCGTCGTATTCGTTAGGTGATGGCAGCGGTGGAGCGCTGTTGACTCCCGGCCGGCCGCCACCCCCATCCGTCCTCTCGCGCTGCTCGTGTTCATACTCGATGGAACGGGTAACCCCGTCCTTGGGGAGGTGTTGTGGGGTTCTATTAAGGAAGGGGTTCATTTTGGAACCGAGCGTGCGCGGGCGCAGGCTCTCCACGACGCGATTGCAGCCGAGGCAGCGGTAGCCCTTGAACCCCGTGAGGACATCCGCGGCCCCCTTCCCGACGACACTGCCATCCCCGACGCTCTCCTGAAGACGCGTCACGTCCTGCTTCGAGGCCTTGCTGTCGATCATGTCGCGCAGGATGCCAAGCGACCGGTCTAACGTGTCGATAAGCCCGGCGTTCGTCGCGTTCAGGACCTGCTCCACCTCGCGCATCAGCCGCTCAAGCGCATTCTCCACGTAGTCGCGCTCCGCCTTATTTGCGACCAGCGTCGAGTCGGCTTTGCAGCGATCCAGCCGATCCACCAGCTCGCGAAGGGCCTCAAGGTCGTCCTGGGTGGCGACGGTGCCCCCCCCGCTGTGGGCGATCTGATCCGCGAGCTCCTGCTGGAGACGGTGGATCCGCTCCCCTTCTCCCGCGCCAGGGGCCGCCACGCTGGGCGCCCCACGGCCCTCCACCTGCGCGGCGCCCTGATCCAGAAGCGACAACCGCTCGTTGAGGTGGTCGCGCAGCAACGCGAGGTCGTCCGCCCCTGCCTTGCCATCCTCTAGCGCTTTCAGGCGGCGGAGCAGCCCATCCAGGGAGGCCGACTGCGCCCGCAGGTTGTCCGCGATCTCCGCGGCCTCGCCGTCGCGGTCGGCCTTCACCTTCTCCAATCGCACGCACTCCCGGGCGTTGCGCTGCGTCTCCAACTCCAGCGCCGCGAGCTGCTCGTGGAGACGCCGCAGCGCCGCCTCAAGTTGGGCGAGGTCGTCGCCCCAGTCCTTCCCCGGCTCGCGGCCCTGGAGCTCCGCGAGCTGCTTCTCCAGCGCGCGCACCGCCCCTTGGAGGAGGGCGAACTGCACCCCACTGATCCCACCAACCCCATCGCCGCTGCCGTCGCCCTCCTTGGCGAAGTTCAAGACCTCGGATAGCTTCCCGTCCGCGCGGTCCGCGGCCTGCTCAAGCGCAAAGAGGCGGTTCTCCAACTCCCCCAGGCGGTTCTTTAGACCGGGCACCCCCCGCGCGTGGTCAAGATCGCTATCCTGGATCTGCTGGGCGACCTTCATGCCCTTCCGAAGATCGTCAATCTGATTCTGAAGGGCCTCGCTGCGCTGTAGGCTGTCCTTGTGCAACGCCTCCACGCGTCTCTTGAGGTTCTTGTAGGGTTCGTCTAGAAGCCGTTGCCCTGGCTCAAGCGTAGCGTCGGCGCTATGGGGGACCTCGGAGAACTCATCCTCACCCCGTTTGCCTTGATACGTCATCTGTAGCAGGTCGACGTCGTCGTGCAACCCCTTCATCTCGCCAAGAATCTCGGCTACGACGCGATTGAGGTAAGCGATGTCATGGCTATCCCGCTTCAGCTGGTCGGAGATCGTGATTGAGGGTCGTATATCGTGAAGTGCGGACCGAGAGGACCTGTCATCTCGCGCAGCAGTAGTAGACGCGCTATGCCCGCGGGACTGTATTGCACTCTCCAATAATGCGGGCGGAATCATGTCGAATTTTGACATTTTTTGCGAAGTAAGTTGTATGGGGCTGCCCTGCCCCGGGAAGGGCCGCATGTCGTCGGTGGAAGGCTGGGCAAGACGATGCGAAGGCTGCATGTCCTCGCCGGGCTCTGGTCGAGCCTCAATGATAGAAGTCCTTTCTCCTGTGAAAGAGTGCTTTCCCTTCGTCAGCTCCGGCAGCTCCTCATGTGCCTTGCGAAGGACCTTGTCGCCCATCGATAGACTCCCTGAATTCCCCTCTTGGCTGTAGAAGCCGGACTCGGGGCGGCTGCACGAGGACGGGCCACCGTAACGCAGGATCGAAGATCCTGGACGCTCCTCCTGCCTATCCTCACAGAGAGAGTCCCTAAGCTTCGAGGGAGGTTCAAAATGCGGCGGTTGCACGTAACTGTCGCGTCGCTTGCGCAGAGCATACAGCTCATCGATGCTGTGCCGATCCTTCTCAGTGTTCTCGGTTAACTCGCCCAAAAGGGACTTCAATAAATCGATCTCCGCCCATAATGCATCGTGATCGGATGCGGTGCACGGTCGATCCCCTTCGTTTTTCAGGTCCTCGGGTTTGGCTAAGTCGCCGTCGCGACCAGCCGACTCTGATATTTCGGTGCGCCCATCCCCTGGTAATGATTCGGTCTCCTGTTCTTTCTGTTGTCGATCGCGCAGCTCATCCAGTTCACTTCTAAGCCGGGCAAGTTCATCGGACTTCTCCTCGTTCTGATCCTCGAGTGCCTTAAGGCGCTGAAGGATCTCCTGGAGAGCAAGTTGCAGGGGATTGAATGTAAGGCTAAAGTTGATAAGCTTACTCAAGTCAATATCTATATCTCGGTTTGCAATTTCAATGGACATCTTTCTTTTTTTGTTGTAATCTTCTTTTTTTTTGCTCTTATTCAAATTTGTATTGCTTCGCAATATAATATGGTCAAAGGATTTTTCCCAAGACACTTAAGGTGTACGACTGGGTGTCAAGTAGTTCACAAGAGCAAATGACGCAGTAGTCGTTTTTTATTTTAAAAAAAGACAGAAGGACAGATGGAAAACAAAAATAGAACAGAGAAGATCAACAGAAACAAAAAAATGGTTAAAATGTATGAAAGGATATACATATATATAGCCTTTCATCTTGAAAAGGAAGAAACACCCTCCTATCTTGTTCTCTAGCCGCACCTAGAAGTCATCTTTATAGAGCTTATAAAGTGTTGTTTTAGTAGCAACGCATTTTTCTATTATATTCTGAAGGGGGTAAATAGTAATACTAGAAACGAATTGTCGTACTATATGACTTGAAAAATGATAAACAGCTCACGTCTTAGTGCACCAAAAAGAGCAGGCATAGTTGACGTCTGCATCAGGGGACCGCTCCCTCTCCCTATTATTTTCTCACTCCCCTAGCATATCACACTCAAATCTTGGAATCCACACGCCCTGTACGAATCCGTGCTGGAAGTAGCTCCCGTACATCCTTTGCTGGCAGCAGCTTCTCCATCACAAAGGTGTGTAATTGCCTCATGCCTTGTTGATCTTGGATTCCAAGCCCCTCACATGTGTCAAGCCACAAAAAATTATCTGCGTGAAGTTTGCCTTTACTCGGGGTGTCATCGATAAGAACGGTGTTACTCGGCTGGGCGATTTCCTGAAACTGCTGAAAGACACGGCTTAGGTCTTTCACGGTAGCATACGCATCATCATTGACGACAGCGTTCCGGCGACGGAAATCGTCTACAGAAGTGTGCTCACGCGACCAGATGAACTCAAACTTCGGTGACTGCTCTAAAGAAGCTGAGACGTCATCCGTTTGGAACCCGGACGATGCCTTTCCACCACGCTTACGAAACCTCGAAACAGTCTCGGTTGAACCTGGAGCTGCCTCAGAGCTCTGCGCCTTGAGTTGCTTGGCCACCCTGCTGCCTGTTACGATGCCCGGGTCGGCGTCAGTAGCATAAGCGTTGAACACAGCGCTCATTAACGGCCTCGTATTCCGCGCCGTGGTCGAGCTCCACACTGCCAAACGGCAGTGCTCCTGCAAGGCAAGAAGAGTAGAAAGGAGATGCGGACGCAGCCATACCTTAGCGAGGCCAACAGTCAGGTCTGGCGCGGGCATCCCACTGGGTACGTTACGCGCGTGTAGGCGTTCCACTAGTGTCCCACGAAGCCCAAAAATCAGCAAAGGCTTCATTACTGTTCGTAGCAACAAGGTGAGAAAGGAAAAAGAAATTTAAGACCCAAGCGAGGACGAAACCTGGGTGAAGCATTACAAGTAGTGTGATATGTTCGTACATATAAGTTCCTCTTATATGCACAAGCACAATGGATTTCACAAAATGGGTTATCGGGCAAATATCATCATATATTAAAAATATTATAATCGTTATGAATGCCAACTCCATTATCCTCTCAAAAAAAATGTCCCCACGATACCTGAGATTATGTCCCAATCCAGATAAGAGTAGACGCATAGACCACTTTACTGAGGAAAAAAAGGCTCCAACAATTCAGAAAGATAAAAGTAAAGCAACAATAGCCATGTCAACAATCAGAGTAAGATCACTGATCGATAAAAAAATTAGATTACCTTCACGCGGAATATGATTAGTGGCATTCAACTGTTGCCACAAGCAAAAAGGGGAAAAGGGCCTGAACATGACTGACGATTAATCTATACTCATTCGTTGCCATCATGTTATAGCTTTTCCTCGGAACCCCGTTAAGCTCCGCACAAAGGATTTATTAAAAAATTACCAGTCGTCTATCTTAGAGGATCTCCATAAATTCCAAAGGGATGGCTTTTGAATAAATATTCATTAGCTTCAATCCTGTTCTGGAATCATAGAAAACTGATATGTATGAAAAATACAATCACTCTACTCTCAAGAGCGCATCAATAGCATGTAGACGTTAAAAATAAATGAAGAATGTGCACATCGCCCTTCAGGGGTCTTTCCGTTTTCCAAATGACTGCCCCAACACACTTTCTCTTTCAATGTTCCCCCTCCAAACGATCACCTCCAGAAACAAATGATCCGCTCGTGCGGCTCCATCACTTTTAAAAAGGCTTCTCGGCCGATCTTTAAGTCCGGCAGCGCCATAAGGACGAGCGCCAGGACAGCAGCACATGAGAAATAGAAGAAAAAATTCACGGCAAAATAGCAAGCGAAGTCGTGCCAGTGCATGGGCCTCCGGCGCTCCACGAGCCCCTTTGGCAGCACTGTATAGTACAACACACACCACACCGCGAAGGACGTGATCGCCACCATCCATGGGAGCACAATGTAGGTCGGTACCGCCTCTGTGAAGTAGTTCCCCTCAATCGTCATCTTCATAATCCAAATGCTCTCCAGGACGATGCCAAGTATGGCCACCCACGCCGTCGTGCCGATGTGCTGAACGGAAGGGTTCGAGATGTACTCGTAGTACTCCCGGATCCCAGGAGTTGCCACGAACATCCATAGGGCCAGTCTTCCAATAACTAAAGGGTGTTTAGGGGGCATGTTCAAGATTGCCTTCATGGTGAAACAATTCAACTCCTGGATTAACATGAGGACCAGCACTGCGGCAACCTGAAAAAGCCGTTTAGGCCTCTCGAAGACGTTCCAGCTGTAGCTCTCGAAGCTGCGCGGACTGAGCTGCCCAAGCAGACGCCGAGCCTTGCCTTTAATGCCCTTGATCTTCGTCATATGGATCCATTTGTATTGTTTTGCTTTAAGCCAGCGGAGAAGCCAGACGCCTACAATCGTCCCGCCACCATTGCATAAGAGCACATCCAAAATGAGGTGATCCCACCAGCACTCTCTGAAATTAGGCAGGATGTGCTGAAGACTCAGCTCAGACACCTCAAAGGCGAGAGAAAGGCATGTGGCCAAGCGCCAATCACGTAGCATAAGGGTCTTGACTACATACCCAAGAGCATGGGCAACGATAAAGATGTCCAAGTTTTCCAAAAACAAGTACGGTCTCTCTGCTGTGGAAATCCGGCAGTCCTCAGCATACGCACGTTCAGGGATCGGCTCAAGTAACTTCGGATCATAGTAGCCCAACAACTGGTGTACGGTCTTTAAGTCAATGAAGAGAACAAAAGTCATGAAAGTAAAGTAGAGAATGCCACACGCAAGCACAGCACGCCATACGGCCGGGTGAGGCCGGACCATAAGCGAATCGGGCAAGTTTACCGTGCCGAATCCGATAAATGTAAACGCCGCAGCGAATAAGCCTAACTTGATATCGGATACTACGCCCATGTCATTATAGTGGTAATACCGCATTAGAAGCAAAACGCACACAACGATAAACACTAAACACAAAACCGTGTGAGGTGTATAAAAAGACTCGCTGAAGTCAAACTCACGGGACCAAGGACTCGCGATCTTCAGATCCTTCTGTTTGTCTATAAGGGGGTCAATCATTGCCTTCTCATCGCAGTCATCTGGGACCATTGCTGGGGAAGGGCTTCTAGTGTGTCTTGGTTTGATTGCGAGGCTACGTGCTTTTTTCATTGGTGTATTTGAGCTCGTCAAATTTTTTGGAGAACCTGAGGGGGAAATCGAGGACGACACCCTTTGCACATCATTGTTTTGTGCTGGACGCGATTCTATAGAAGTCCTAGCAGGAGAGAAGTTTTGCTTTGACTTTGGACTCTGGCTACCACTAACCTTCTGTTGGTCGATATTGTCAGCCTTACGTTTAGTCTGAGACTTCATTTTATAGGAATAGTTTCCAAAGTCAAAAGCATAAGCTGAATACCTTTTGGTCTTTAAAAAAAAAGAAAAATGTAAATTTATCAATCGGAATAAGATTAGGAAGTGTTAACAAAAGGGCAGCACGAAACTCATAGCGTAGTATAAGAAAAAAATGCACAAAAGATTTCTCAGAATATTCAGAATAACCTACGGGCCCTGCCCATCACTTCAAGAAAAAAAGTTATTTTTCCAAGTCTGCACGTATTCAAATAATATATATATATATATATATATATATATATATATAGTAGTGTATAG